GATGATGGATGCTGTGAGCTCGTCCAGAGGAGGAGAAAAAAGAGAGAGAGGATGACAGAGAGCGGAGGAATAAAGGAGCAGGGAGGATCTGCGATCAACCCACTCTCTTTAACCAACAGGGTTCATTTTCCTATTTGTCCCTTGGCACAATGAAAAAAGTGGGAAGGGACGGAGGAAAAGTTACAATGTCCTAAATTAGAATGAACTGAGAGAGAGAGAGAGAGGACACGATATTAATAGAGTATCATACACACCTGAAATGTTGCTCGTTGTCCTGTTATTGTTGTCCTATATAAAACGGTAATCCCTGAATAGGTAACGCGCGTAATAGGCTACTGCTTCAAAATGACAAGTGACTGAGAATTGATTTGATACGAGCACTCGCGAGAAGCATGCAGGTTTTATGCTTGTCATGCTTAAAAGAACAAAAAAGAGCGATGTATTTGGCTTAGCTCCATGCGTCGTTTTGGTTAATTTCTGGATCATAATTGGGAAACTGTTATCTTGACCGACATTTATTGATTCTGTCAAGGCATTAAAGGATTAAAACCTGTCGAGGTGAAGACAGCTGCAATGTCTTTATGGTAAAACAAAGATCAAATTGACAAAATGAGTAAAACACACACACAATAAAAGAGTACAGACTGTAAAATGATTCAAATGAATCGTATCTCATAAATTAATTCTAAACATAATTATGTGAGACATGATTGAGTGGTGTTAGTTTTGTTTAAAATTAACATTTCCATGATCAACATTAACTTTTAAAAATAAAGGTTCTTTTGGCATCAAATCAAAATTTCAAAAAATAAACTTTACCATCCATGGAACCTTTTCAATCCACAAAAGGTTCTTTACAGTGGTAAAAAGGTTCTTTAGAATATTAAAATGTTCTTCACACTAAGAAAACATGGTTCTTTTAAGAACTGTTCACTGAAAGGTTCTTTGGGGAACTAAAACTGGTTCTTCTATGCATGACATCGCTGTGAGAACTCCCTTTTTGAACCTTTATTTTTAAGAGTGTTGTACAATTGCATAATTTTAGTTATGAATTAAAGGAATGGTTCACTCAAAAAAGAAAATTTGCTGAAAATGTAGGGTAGCGCGGGGCACAAAGTAACGCGGGGTAAGTTGTAACACACGTAGTTTAAATATTTCCACACATGCTAGCATAACCAAATTTTCAGCATTTACTAGTTACCATATCAACATTATATAGAGAAAAAAAGTGCACCAAAATTCAAAAGTTTTTTTGAAGATATCGCTGAACATTTATTTTACCGTAGTAAAATTATATTTCTGGCTTAAGTAAATTTTTCATCTCAGTTTTTATTACTCATTTAAAATGAGACAAATCTGCTATTATTTTAATCTCCAATCTGTTATTTATCAGTTTAGATTATTTTTTAATTCTTCGCTAACTATCAGAAGACAGTAACCGGTTTTAAATTCCAGTTGCGCAGATGGGGTATGTTGTAACACTGCGTTACAATGTACCCTGCCGTGCTATTCTATGACATTAGCGATGTAATTCAGACTATTTACTTTAATACATTTTAATGATAAACGACGAGAAACAGGTGAATAAATACTGACAGTCAATGTTTAATGTTAAGAAATTATTATTTCAAGACATGTAAAGCATTTTGGCTCGTTTATGTGGGCCGTCCCAAGCATGGTTGCAATGTGTTCATTGTCAAATTCCAAAATCAAATTATTTTTAATTCTTAAAAAACGCCATTATTTTATTTGAAATAAATAATTATTTTATTTTGTTGACAAAATATTTTAGTTTGTCTTGTATATTTTTTTCATGTGATCAGATAACATTTTAAGCTGTCACATGGTCATGTTACAACGTGCCCCTCAGCTGTTACAATGTACCCCACCTATGGGGCATGTTGTCACATTTCACTTCCAATTTTTGAGGGTAAATAAAGAAAAACGTATACACTGTAATTATGAAACAAAGCGACATATTTGTACTAGACAAGTGTGAAATTACTCTGAACCCCATGTGGATTTACACAAACTGAGAAAGTCAAAAAGTGTTACTTTGTGCCCAGCTCTCCCCTACTCACCCTGAGGTCATCCAAGATGTAGATGAGTTTGTTTCTTCATCTGAACATATTTGGAGAAATTTAGCATTACATCACTTGCTCACCAATGGATCCTCTGCAGGGAATGGGTGCCGTCAGAATGAGAATCCAAACAACTGATAAAAACGTCACAATAATTCACAAGTACTCCACACGACTCCAGTTAATCAATTAACATCTCGTCAGGTGAAAAGCTGCATGTTTATAATAAACAAATAATGGCCTATGGGTGAGTAAATTTTCAGCAACTTTCATATTTGGGTGAATTATTTCTTTAACAAAATGTGTCCAAAAACTTCAATTTTTAGGTTGTCTTAAGGTTTGTTCCAGAAATAACAAATAACAAACAAGTTTCTCGCATAGTCTTAGTATAGAGCAATCTTTTTGTTACATGAATAAACATCTTGAGGAAACTTTCACTCTCACTGAATTTACCCATTGTTCAGAGTAAGAATAGCTATTTAAGGCAAGGATCAACTTTGCATTGAGCAAGAGTCCAAGGGCTGAGTGCCACAATGAATGCTTTGGTTCACTCAATTGCTAGGCCACAACAACATTGTAAATGAGAATTAAATAGTTATGTACGCATCCATTTCTGCAAGCATATTAAGATTGTCACTGTCATGGCTAAATGCTATGATGAAAATGAATCTGGACCAGTGCAACTCTATATCACATCTGTATAGCAGGGTATGTGCGTATACCTTCCGTGACTCGCTGTTGGTGAGCTTTAATAACTAGATCTTTCAGTAATGATGAGACAGCTGCTTATTCAGAGAAATAACCAGTTTGAAATGGTTTTGAGGCATGAGTCACTGCTGATTCACATCTGTACGTTTGAATCTGATCCATTTGTGAGTCATGTCTGTGAAGGTAACCGCATGTGGACACAACAGACCAGAGTCTGGCCTCCTGTTAAAACAGTAGCAAACTTTCATAGATGAGAGGCTGGATGACAGAAGCAAATGATAGTTTGCACACAGAGAGAGAGGAGGGTGAATATGGTTTTGTACATCACATACTCTTCAACACAAGAGGAATTTACCATATCAACACAGCTGACTGTATATGCTGAAGATGAGAAATCAGGTAATATCACTCTGAACATCTACAGAAAATTACTATATGCATAAAAACTACAGTGCATTATTTATTTGATCTTACATTATGGTAATCCTTTAGTAAGTAACTATATGCCTTAGGACCAGACAATAAAACTACAGTGCATTATTTATTGGCTCTGGCATTATGGTAATCCTTTAGTAATAAGCAAGGATACCTCTTTCTGTACCACAAGATTACCACTGCCTGCCAGCCATTGAGGATTTTAAAACTTGATCCGTTTTACAGACATTACTACCATCCACATCCAAGCCACAAGTGGGAAAGTATGAAGTCACTGACTGCCTTCTCGCTACAGCACATCCTATTAACCCCAATTTCATCAGGAACACTTTAAAATTACTAACATTAGTGAATGCAATAGGTATCATAAATAACAATGAACAATTTACAGCATTTATTAATATTATATTTTATGCATATTAAATATTTAATGTTACTTTGTGTATAATACTTATTTTATAAATGCATTATTTATTGAAAATTCATATTAATTCATAACACATAATGCTTATTTATAAAACTTGAAATGTTAATGCATTAGTACATGTACTAGAAATTAATATTAGCCAAGATTAATAAATGTTGCAAAAGGATAATTTATACAGACATTGCAAATACTAATAATAAAACCTTTAAAGTATTGCAATTTCATCATTTCATCCCAGATTTACCAAGTCATTAAAAATTTGAAAATTTAAAGAGAAATTTCATATTTAATATATCAATTAATTTATTAATAGTGACTGTAAACAATGTTTATATTTCAATTAAATGCTGTTTTTTCTATTCAAAGAATCCTTAAAAAATGACCACGTTTCCATAAAAATCTTGAGCAGCTGTTTTGAAGAAATCTTGAGCAGCAAATCTGCATATTACAATGATTTCTGAAGAATCATGTCACACTATATA